ATATATATATATATATATATATATATATATATATATATACATATTCTGTGTTGAAAGTTTAAATATTCGTATTCAAAGACCAAAACAACAAGAATGAGGGTTAGTTACGTATTCAGGCATTAGTACTTTTATTTTACTTAACATGTATGTTCGGTTTATATTAGTGTGTACTGCTTGACTCGTACTCAGAGTTCATGTCTGAAAGATGTCGAGGAAAGCATGATCCTGACAGATGAATGCATGCTCGATCTGTTATATCGTAAGTTAATTATCGTAAGTTAAGTAGTTAAACGCCATAAGAAACGCGTAACTCGCAATTTCAAATATTTTCATGGCTCAGAGCGATATTACTCGCCCAAGTCGTACAATTTCCACGTTTAAGTGAAATATCGGAGACTGCAGGTTATGTGCTCGTGATACTTAGGCGTCTGATTCGCAATTCGCGTCTACAACTGTGGCTCACTCGAGTGCGACATTTCAGCGAAACTGCAAGTTTTTCTCATCGAGAAGGTACGTTTGACTACAATTTACAAGAACATACGGGCAAAAAATTTCGATTGAATTAATTTAACAATGAATGAACTGAACATGCTTTGGTTGAAGGAAACAGAATTCCTGGTCTTTACAACCGAATTTGGCTCATAAGAACCACAAATTCAGATTTCTTCCAATCAATCAAAACGCATTTGGTTCGTCCAGATTAAGTCAAACAAATTTTTTTCTCTATGCACACGTTCTACGTGTGTTGTTCATCAATTATACCCGTATGGAAGTTCCCCAAGATTTAACCCATTAACGTCCAAATGTGCTGGAATTTTACGTTGATTTGAGCCATTTATTTTACTACGAAAATGAGATCTGTTGCTTATAAAGAGTACTATTTCTACCAATTTCGATGTCGCTCTATCGAATAGCATTGAGAAAATTAAAAAAAAATCGCAATTTAATTAAATTCGCAAAATTTTTTCAAAATAAAATTAAAAAACGCATGTTTTTTAGAGCAAAATTTTTCTTCTTCCGTTATTTTCTCCATAAAAACGTATTAGTATTGCTCGGAAAAATCTTCCCGACACTTTAACTTAAAAAATATGCCATGGATATTTTTTTCAACAAATGTGGCGATACCAAAATGGCGGTTGATTTGAAGCGTTTAATTCGAATTTATATTTAGTTATTGAAATTGTTTTAGGATCAATATTACTACAAAATTACATAGTAATTTATATAATAATTACATAATAAAATAATCTCGATAACCAAATATAAACGAAAATTCAAATTGAACACTTTAAATCGACCGCCATTTTGGTACCGCCATGTTTGTTAAAAAAATACATGGCATATTTTTTTAAATTAAAGTCGGAAACACGTTTTAGACACTTTTACAAGCGATACTCACACGTTTTTATGGAGAAAATAGCGGAAGAAGAAAAAATTAGCCCTAAAAACATGCATTGTTTTATTTTATTTTGCAAAAATTTTGTATAAATTGCGACTCTTTTTAAATTTTCTCAACGCTATTCGATAGAGCGACATCAAAATTGGTAGGAATGGTACTCTTTATAAACAACAGACCTCATTTCCGTAGTAAAATAAATCAATGTAAATCAGCACATTTGAGCGTTAAATGCAGCATAGATTTCAATTAGAATACACCAAATTGGTTATCTCATTACGATGCCAATTGAGAATCCTATTCTTTTCTGAAATATGGATTTTCTGTCATTCGGAACAGAAATACTCGCGCTTCTTTTTCAGTCAATAATGTCCATATATCTTTATGTTATTAAACAAGGAATTCCACTTGTAACTGTTGCATTTTTTCACAATAGAATAAAGAAAAAATATTAAAAATATTATTATTTTGACCTATATTAATAGTTGTTATTTGAAACTTGCCTCAGTTAAGACACGCAGATTTGAATTCAGTGTTAGATATTTTCCAGCTTAATCGCGATTACAAACGTACAAAGCTGTATATATTATATAATTCCAATAAAAAGATACAAATTCAACTGTAAATTCAGGTCTAGATATCTAATGTTAGATAAGTTTCAATTAATGATTATTAAGGGGATGCTGAAAACTTTACCGACAGAATACTGATATTTTTCTGCAAAGTTTACGTCACACCGGTTGTATAGAATTACAAATGCTTTTACACAATAAAAGTACGTACAAAAATTAATAGGAGCATTGTTCAATATGAGACAAAAACGAGAAAAAAATTGTAAACGTAAAATTCTCAAG